CCTAAGGTTTTAAAAAACAGAGCTTAAATAAATGATTAGCGGTAATAAAAGCTGAGGGAGGTCAACAGTGATCACTGACTATTTTATGAGCTTTTTGAGATTAAATAGAAGAAAATACATAGCATTAAACATGTTAACAACACAAAAGCCATATTAAACCCAGACTACTTTAGGCCCGGAAGTAGGATTCGTCACGTCATCGCTTAACGACCGGATTGGCTTCTCTCTAAACCCACAACACCTGGGTAAGGGGTGGGGTTTATTGTGTAGCGGGCAGCGCTCTGCTGGATCATCTCTAGTGGATGACTCGCTTCTACATTGGGTGCCAAACGATGCAGTCCTTGTACCGTTGGAAGGGGGTAGAGGATCCGGAGAGACCCTCATTTTAAAAACTGCCACAGCTTTGTGACCTTCGGCTTTAGACTGATAACTCACTGCTGAATGCTGTCTGTGTAAGGCCAGGGTCGTTGCGCATCCGTGCTTCCTGACACACAAAGAAGCCGAATGGGGGATAGGGAGCCCTGCGATCTTCTTTGTACTTAAAGCCTAGAGAGAGCCATTTTTCCTGGAGATAAAATGGCAGCTTCTGCACCACAGGGGTAACACCATGAGGAGTATCCAGATAACTAAGCCCAAGCAGGTCACCATCTTCTTTGGCAGCCTGTATTTCCAACAGCAAGTCTCCCAGCTCTCTTAGCTTACGACCGTCTCTGTTTGGGATCTTGGGAAAGTTGTCTAATCTTTTCAAAAAGGCACCCTCGATGACCTCTGGTGCACCATAGCATTCATTAAGCCTATCCCACATAGCTCTGAGTCCGTTTGCTGGTTGGTTCGCATACACGGATCGTATTCGTCTGGCATGTTCAGCTGAGTCCTTACCTAGCCATTTCACAAGAAGGTTAAGCTGTTCGCTTGGTGAGAGGTTGAGGCCTCTGATGGTATTTATAAACGATGCTTTCCAGGCTCTGTAGCATTCGGGACGGTTGTTGAAGTGAAGGAGCCCTGTAGACACCAGTTCGCGTCGAGCCATAAATCTAACAAGGTCTGACATGTTCTGCTCCATTTCTAGCGGAGTGTACAGTGGACCCCTTTCCTGGCATGTGGTCTCATGTGGGTGACTGAAGTTGTCTGGGGTTGTAATATAGGCGGTGCCAGTGTAGCCACTGTCTAGAGGCTGTTGAGCATAACTGACCGTTGGTTCTTGTTTAGGGGTGTAAGTGTCACTTTGCTCTGCTTTGCTTGGGAAATGTTCCTTTAGAATTGCTACTATGTGTGTGGTTCGTGCTTGGATGTGTGGTACTGCAAATGGCTTGGGGCTTGCTCAAGTATGTGCATCAGATCCTGGCGTAAGAGTCTATGATCAGCGAATGCTGAGGGAGCTTCATCTCTGTGTTACCATTGGAGGTTTCTAGAATGGGCATGGTTTGGCTGCCATGTGTGGCACCCTTGACATATTCCCTTGTGCGTGTTACTGGGTCATCAGCAGGAACATCTATTTTACTAAGAGTCTCGTTATTATCTTGAATCACTGCAGCCTCCAAAGCTGCAGCCCTTTTTTCCATGCGTACTTTATTCAACGACGCTTCAAGACGCATTTTTCGAAGCTGCATAGAGGCTTCTAGTTCTGCTTGCTGCAACTTCAGATCATTCTTTTTATCCATGAATGCTGCTTCAGCCTTAGCTGCCTCAGCTTCTGCACGTGCTTGTGCGGCACCTGCCTTACTTGCAGCTGAACTCCTAGAATGCCTGGAGGAGCCAGATATATTAGATCTGATTTTCATGAATGTACTGGTTCTCTGTGACATGTTGCTGTCGAGTGGATTTTGCCAACATCTGCAGCTGAATCTTAGAGCTGAGCTGTTTCTGGAGGATAGCTCTATATGCCGTGCAGTTCCTCATGAGACTGGTCTTTGAGAGGCTGTCGTTTTACTGTAATGTCCTCTGCCTCTAACGCATTGCTAGTCGACATTCAGACTAAACTCCTCTTCAAAATGACCACGCAGACAAGAGGGCTTGACTTCACTCCCTTTACTTAGGCCAGTTGAAGAAGGGTAAAACTGAGAAAACAGCATGAAATCCTCTTAGAAACCATAAACAAGGACAAATAAACAATAGCAGTACAAATAACTTGATTGGCCAAAAGCGTTAGCGAATCCTCTCTTTACAAACATTTCAGCACTGTCCCAAAACGTTGGCTGCATCCTCCGGAGGCTGCATTTGAAGGCCGATTACGTCACAGCCAGGTGACGAAGGCTGTCCCAATTCATTGACTCCTTCAAATGCGGCCGACAAATCCATCCTTCATTTCCCCAAATTTGAAGGATGGGTCGGGTGTGTCCTTCATGGCCCACCATATCTCAGAATTCATAGCTTGGCCCAGCCAAATTTCAGCTGCCAACAATGGCGGCCGCTACTAAGTTTTAAAATTACTCTTATTAATCTTTCTGGGTCACAAAATAAACGTTTAACATATTTTAAGGCGAGAAAGTAGCTGTGTAAATTACAAATATCTGCTTGGTTTATCAAGACATTGCATATTTGCAAAAGTGTGACGACGTTTTCGGAGACGTGGGCGAAAGTGTGTGTGTGTGTTTGTTTGTGTGTGTGTGTGTGTGTGGTTTCTGTAGACAAAACATAATGATACAAACCAATTATAACTCAAATTGCACATTAAACATAAAGATACAACTGAGGTGTACTCAAATGCAGTATACAAGTAAATAAGCTGACATATTTCTTCAGACTGGTTACATAAACTTAGTCAGACATTATGCATTAAGACACCACATACAACTATGCACTGAAGGCAACTTTACACTGTTTATCAACTGGTACACAGAGCAGAGAACCAACAACACTTTTACTTGGTATCGGATCGGAAAGGAAATCAGTGGTATGGCACATCACTACTCTGAACTGAAGCTGCGGAAATACGCCTATGGTGCATTCAGGGGGTATGGGAAATCCCATACACAAACCTAACCCTTTTTTACAGGGACAGCAAGAGAGAAGAGGGCGAGCAATAACAGGAGAGCAGGAGGAGAAAGAGATGCAAATGACATTATGGCAGCTTTTGTCTCGGACTCCCGGACCATCAGCACCGGCTCCCCTCAGGGCTGTGTTCTTTCTCCTCTGCTCTTCTCCCTGTACACCAACTGCTGCACCTCCACCCACCAGTCTGTCAAGCTAATCAAGTTTGCAGATGACACCACCGTTATTGGGCTCATCTCGGACGGGGATGAGTCTGCCTACAGGAGGGAGGTTGAACGTCTGGTGTCCTGGTGCAGCCACAACAACCTGGTGCTGAATGCCCAGAAGACAGTGGAGATTATTGTGGACTTCAGGAAGCACACAGCCCCACTCCCCCCCATCATCCTGACTGACACCCCCATCACCTCTGTGGACTCATTCCGCTTCCTGGGTACCACCATCACCCAGGACCTGAAGTGGGAGCCCACCATCACCGCCGTCATCAAGAAAGCCCAGCAGAGGATGTACTTCCTGAGGCAGCTGAAGAAATTCAACCTGCCAACACGGACGATGATGCAATTCTACACTGCAATCATCGAGTCCATCCTCACCTCCTCCATCACCGTGTGGTACGCTGGAGCCACTATCAAGGACAAACTGAGACTGCAGCGTGTTGTGCGCTCTGCTGAGAAGGTGATTGGCTGCAGACTCCCATCTCTGCAGGACCTGTACACCTCCAGGACATTGCGGCATGCAGCTCGGATCTCAGCTGACCCTTCTCACCCTGGACACAGTCTGTTTGACCTGCTCCCCTCAGGCAGGAGGCTCCGGTCCATTCGCACCAGAACCTCTCGCCATAAGAACAGTTTCTTCCCCTCTGCTGTTGGACACATGAACAATAACCATATGACTGTTCCCGCCACTAACACATGACCCTACGCTGTGTTCACTGCATCATTCCATGTTTGGCACTGATCACCACCTGCACTCATGTATATATCTTTCTACGTAGCACTCTTAATTCTTATTCTCATGTATATATCTCATGTATATCTCATGTATATATCTTTCTACGTAGCACTTTTAATTCTTATTCTTACTTTTATTTTTTCATGTCTATTTAAGCCCAACTTATGACACTATGTTTGCACTGAAGCACCGCAGCAATTTCCTGATGTTGTAAACCTGCTCAACATTTGGCAATAAACCCCTTTCTGATTCTGATTCTGATTTTATGTATGGTGCACATAATCTATGAGATTATATGACATCATGCATATCCTGGCCATTACAGTCAAGTAATTCAACAATTTTACATTTTAAAGCAAAAGTACCATTACACTGTCCGTCCGCAACAAAGTTAAAGTAGTTGCTGTGACAAAAAAAAACTTGTGTGTAAGCATGTCAGCGTGTGGTGATGTCACGATCCAAAAAGTATAAATGGTACCAGCCTTCAATATTTGCGAGTTTGTTTTTTAAAAGAGTCAAAATAAATACATTGAACAAATAAAGCCATATCATCATAAATGACTGGAGCTGCAAGGCAGACAACTGAAGCGTAATAGGTTTATTTATAATGAAACAAATATATAAAATGAACTGGTGAATTAGTGGAGAGCACCACCCTAAGGTGATGGTCTGGGAGAGAGTGCTCAATGACTGTCAGGGAGAAATTGGGAGTCTGTAGTGATCAGGTAAGTATTTTGGTGTGAGGCTCTGACAACCTAGGTTAGCAAGTAGGAGTGTGAGAGGATATTAACCAGACAAGACGTTTAAAACTAGAATTCAACAAATTGGAGGATAACCACCATCAGGCAGAAAAACATTGCCACAGCCAGTCTTTAAATACAATCTACATGTTAACAATGAGTGTGCAGCAGTCAGGGAAAGCTCAGCTTGGTAAGAAAGGGAGATTTTACACATTTCACCAAAAAGTCCAAGAATAAAAAATCACCCAGCCTGCCCCGGATTAATGATGGTGATGATAATAGTGATGATGGTAACAGTACATATTTGCACATTTCTTGCAGTTCATCAGCTGATATCCATGATCGAATAGTTAAAAGAAACATTCAAGTCAAGGATGGAGTAAGAAAAGAATTCAACAAGAGAAGCAAGATTAAGGTGAGGTTTATAGGCTGACAGAAAATAATACAGACTCTCCATAGTTGTAAGGATGCTTTAAAATTAAACAATTTTTCCTCAGACACACTTCACTGATGACAGTTTCAAAGTGTTCACAGTGAGCTCCAAAGAGTTCCTAAAAGGGAAGCATCTAAGTTCAGAAGAGACTGGTAGGTGAAGTCTTGATGCACATGTTGTTTTAGTTTGCTCTGACTGAAAGAGAATTATTTAATTTGAATTAAAGTGTGTAATGTCAAAGTGTGGCACTGAAATTTCTTCTCAACAGAAATAACCAAACTTAAAGGATTTTTGCAAGATCTCAATGACTGTTACTCAGAGACAGTAAACTACGTGAGTGGAGCTTATGGGATTCTATCTTTGATTGAAGGTGCCAGGTGCAGAAAAGAGGTGAGGTCAAGTTATCTATGTGGAACAATATTTTACTGAAATTTAAAACTTCAAATGTTTCCATAAATCTGACACCTAACAAAATTTTAGTTATCAAGATTTCTTGACAGGCACTGAGTGACAACATTTCAAAATGATTAATTAAAAAAAGAGTTGTATTTATGTTATTACTGCTTTAATAGAAAATAAATATACTGTTTTAATTTCAGGGTGTTGGAAAAGCAGATGATGTATGTAAAGTTCTCGAGAAAAACATGACAGAACAACTTGATCAAGTCAAAAGAGCAGTTGATGAAGCGATCAAGGATTTTGAACAATGTCTTACAGAAGGCGTTAAAAATTCCAAAACCTCTGAAGAAAAACTGAAATCCTTTTTGGACCGTGATGTATGTATCTGAATTTTAATTATTATAATTCACATCATAGCAACAGATTTTGCACTTTATATGAGCATGTGTTTAGAATTGTTTTCCTGATCTGTTACAGAAACAGCCTAGTTTTTTTAAGACACTACAGGCTGTGGTTAGAAAAGACGGCATCCACAAAACAAAAAAAGGGGAACACATAAATCTCAACACAGTATTAGCTTCATGCTTGACTGACAGCATTGATGAAAAATTCAGAAAGACCTTCCCGTGAGAATAAACAAATTACTATCATATTACACTATACTTAAAATGATTAAAACAAACTTGTCAATACTGCCATCGTGAAACATTTTTTTCAGAAATGATGTTAAAGGCGGATCTTTCAATGGAGTCATCAGTAGATTTTCACTTGACACAAATTCGCTGATTCAAAAATACCAAGATGTCAAACTGCAGCTGATATTTCTCCAGACAGAGGTACGACATGAAACAATCCAGTTTGTCAGTCCATTATAGCAGAATTTACCTATTCACTCTACAAATACTAATTCTGTTTATTAACTGATCCATGTTTCATGTTTTTAAGGAGGATAAAATTAAGACAAAACTCAACAAAATAATCCTAAAGGGGAAGAAAATCATCTACAACAGTCTAACAGAGGCAATTGAGAAAAACATGAAAAAGTGCTATGAAGGTAAGAAGATTGTCAGCTTGTCACTATAATAAATCACAATTGTACATAAAAAATGTTTTGACAAAGTTTATTCTTTTCTTGTAGATGCACGAAAAATTTCAGGGAATGGTGCGCTGAAAAAAATGAGGAAGACTATTGAGACACATGTATCCTTAAATAGGAACATGTATGAGGACGCAAAAAAGACCATGTTGGAGAAGATGAATGAACTGATGGTTTGTCACATTACAAATTAATTTGAGACCATGTTGTGTTTTTTCTATATTTGAGTGCTTTTGCTCAGTCTGAACATTCTCTAAAGATTAGCGAATGGCTGTTAATATTTGTATTTTTCAGCATTACAAAGATTTAGTCTGCAATGATGAGTTGAACTGAAGAGCTTAAAATATGAACTGGCCACAAGAACAAACATCTACCCATTAATTCAGATGTTTCAGTTGTTTTAAACCTCAATATTTGACTCTGTGAAAAGTAATAAAAGCTCTGATGTTTAATTAGATGATCATCTGTAAGGAACTAAAGGAGACCATGGACCACTCCATTAAACTCTCACTCAAGGCATCAGCTTTGAGTGAGAGTCTCCCGGGTAAAGAAAATATAGGCTATGAAAGTAAATCGTTAGTAAAATGTTGAACAATGCTAAGCCCATGTTTTTATATATTTGTTTGCTTTTCAGATGTTTCAGAGCATCTTGAAACTGTGCAGCAACATTACAATGAAGGTAAGGGCAGTCAAGAGGGAGACATAACATCATAGTAGCCAGGTAAATATTTAAATGTTATTTCATGTTACTTTAAAAGTTCCTGTGAATTCTCAAAGAAAGAGGGTGAAATTTGATGACAATCCTAAGCACCTAAATATACAGTAACTTTTAATTGTTTAATATATAAAATATAATATATAAAATATGTTTAATTGTGTTTAGTGTCAATTATAAGTTTTTCATAATTTAGAGATTAGAAGTAGCCATTTTAAATTACATATGGCCATTTAAGCTGTCCTTTTGTATTTTCATCATCTCAGCTAAAAAATCCAACTGGTTCATTGTGGCCGGTAATGTTATGCAGTGTTAAAGTATGACACCACAACGTTACATCTTCTTCAAAAAAAGTTTAGAAGCAGCTGCTAAACAACTGCTAACAGTGGTGACACCAGAAGCACTACCAACATAAAAGTTCAGGTTTTGCTCAAAAACTTCCCTGAATATTGTCCACAGTCTTTGGACAGAAGTAACTTATTGACTCCTATCGGACTGACAGCTGAGGTAAACATGCTGAATTTGTTATTGCTAAGCACAGATGAAGTATTTGAATAATATCACCACTTATAATTTGTGTTATTTTACCCTTTTTGTATCCGAGTCACCTCAAACAGGTTCAAATAAAGTGTTTCCAAAAATGAGTTTCTACACAAACAGTAACAGAAACAACAGATATTAAGATTTTCTATTCTAGGCTGAGGAGCTTTCAAGACATCTTAAAGCACATCTTAAGTACTGACACTTGTTCTGTTTGCCTGAGCAACTGAGTGTTAAAAATCTTTGTGCTTATTATTACTGGATGTTTCAGATTTGCTCCACACAGTAACAGCAGAAACCTGATGACCCACTCAACATCTCTGAGGGAACACTGACCAAAAGCATGAGGTCTCTGGATATCGCCACAGATATTTCTGTAATGTTGTGTTTGACTTTTAATGAATTTGATGAAATTTGATTTTTCAGTCCTCACTGCAAGAAGGTCCTGGGTTTGAATCCAGTTTGTGGCTTTTCTGTGTGGACTTTGCATGTTCTTCCTGTGTCTGTGTGGGTGCTCTCTGTGTACTCCAACTTCTTCCCACAGGCCAAAAACATGCGTGGGGGTTAGGTTAATTGGTGATCTTGGATATAGATGTGCATGTGAGCAAGAATGATAGTTAGCTGTGTGACACAGTTATTATAGTTTTGTATTTTGTCATTAATTTTTATTTTATTTCATTTTGACTTTTTGTTTTTATTTCATGTTTCAGTAAGTTTCAAGACTGTTCTTATTTTCAATTTATTATTGTTTGAAAATGTTTAGTTTTAGTTCAGTTTTGTCAGAGGCAAAATTACGAAAACCAGTAGAAACAATAGGAATGTTTCACTTTTTGAAAACAGTTGACCCACTTGTCTTGTACATGTCCAGTGTCTCAAACACGTCCATCAATAACATGTCAGGCACATTGTAATAACATTTTTACCAAACTAACAAATACTGAAACTAAGGCTATTTCCTCTATAAACTGATTTGTATTTCAAATGAGGTCATTTAATCATTTCTGTTGATTATTGTTTTTATTTTGTTTAACTAAAATATTCATATCTAGTCTTAGTTTTTACTTTAGTTTTATTTGAGTGGAATAACCTTAGCAAGCTCTTCAGGGTGTACTCTGCCTTTTGCATGACAACTGGGAAAGAGTTCCAGCAACCCCGAATTGGATAAGCAAAAGGATGAAAATTTTTAAGCATGAATTCCTCTCAGGGGTATTAAGGTTTTTAAGATTTTAGTTGTTAGGGTCTAAACCAAAAGGGCAGCACTCTGTCCAAAAATGTTTTGATGTCTATTTTCTCCATTTTGTTGTATTTGGTCATTATTTGTAGACCCTAGTTATACAGAAAATTATACAGCGGTAGAACTACAATGTTACAGATTTTAATTTTAGTGCTTTACAGGAATACTGTGATATTCAGACTCTTTCCAGTTTTAAGGATTCAATTTAAGTAAATTTAAAGATTTATTTTCTTGATGTATTTGTCAGTTTTATTCTTAAACTTCTATAGAACATGACTTATGTATACCACTTTACTTATATTTCTAACATAAATATGAATTTACTCTAATACAATGGTTTCTTTGGTTGTCACATGAGTAATAAAGCAGCAGCAAAAAAATAAGTCTCTGCTTCTGCTTTAGCTATTATATCATATTGTTTTCTGTTGTTTCTATTCTGTATTGATTCCATAGCTGTAAGATGTAAACATGATTTTTCAAATCCTGATCTTATTTTTGCCTAAAAATAAGCTCCCTGCCAAAAAGTATTTTGCAGCACCACAGTAGTTTGTAACATACAACAAAATTATATTTGAAGACTGAACCACAAGCCATTAAGTCAAATGATTGTGGATACTGCTTCCTCTGAAGGTGTTCTTGTCTGGGTGGCCTTACAGGTCATCTACAATCCTCCAGTCACATGTCTTATCAGCAGCTCTCTTCTATAATCTGTGTACCTGGTAACTAACTGGGTTAAAGTTTAGTGGTCTGGAAAATAGGGCCCAAGGATCTGTTAACTTTTATAGGCAAAGTAACCTTTTATAACCTTTTGTGTGATATTGCAGTTTTTTCTGATGACTTAAGCTCTTTTTTTAAAACTATTGGCTATTTTTGCTAAACTCTACATGCAAATAAGAAAACCCTTCACCAAATCAGCAAAACATTGTAGTTTACTTGTAAAAGCTAATAAACCTTGCTTAACTCTGCAAACCTTTGTAAAAATGGTATTTTCGTATCAAACAGTTAACACAAGCCATCACATTAATAAGCACACAATGCACCAACTACACACTGATGGTATGAATAAAAAAAATCTGACTTTTGCTTTCTCTGTGCACAAGGTAGGCTATGTCAGTTTGTGGTCATACTTTTGTCATAGGTCCGTAAACATAGTGGGATCCGAACTTCAAGTACTGGGGCCTGTTCTTCGTACCTCGCTAAGTAAGTTAGCTGGATTAGATTGTTGACGATTTCGCGTGATCCTGGATCGTTCGGTTCCCCGAAGCTCATCCGGGACTTGCTGTCATAGCAACAGAGCCGTAAGCGTAAACCTGCTCGGGAGCAGGTTTATGTAAACAGGATTAGATCGCGGCCACGCAGGTATGTCCGCTTCATTTATACGAAAGCAACAGCGATATTCCACCACTGTTTCACCATAAATAAATAACATCAATGTAACTAAAGATAATGCAGCACCTGATCCTTTTATTGATGTCACACAGATACATACAGGTCATTTCCTAAAAAAGGGAAATGTACTATTAACATTCTATTACATGTATGTGATTATTACAGATGTAATTCATATTTCAGAGTAGTAATTGTAAATTACTTCGTGTAATCAAGATGAGAGACCACGGCTATAAAAGCCAAGGTGGATTTGGGAAGCCTGTTGCAGCCATGTCCTGTCCGTTTACGCGAGCCACCCATTGCGGAAGGTGCAAGATTGATAAGGAGAGTCCTCAGAATTCAGCGTATATTGCGGGATAGACAGGATCCTTTAGCTCAGCGCGACAGTGTGCTCATTGAGAGATATCGATTTCCCCGTGAGGGTATTATTTACTTAACCAACTTGTTGACGAGGGGGTGCAGGACCACCACCTGTCTTTTTTTGCTCTGCCCTTTTCTTGGTTGCTGTTATGAACAAACAAACAGATTATTTCAGGGTCTCTTTCCAAGAGACGAAAAGCAATATAAGTGATAAATATTACCATTCTATAGAATATTCTTATATTTCACTTTTACTTGTTCCCATGTTCTAGTGGGTCCTGTTGTGGCTCTAATGTGAAAGAGGATATAATATAACAATATAATATAATGTAATATAATATTGGATAATATAGTGTAATATAATAAATCTACCCTACCGCCTACTGGTGTTGGCCAGAGGGGCCGATGGCGCGATATGGCAGCCTCGCTTCTGTCAGTCTGCCCCAGGGCAGCTGTGGCTACAACCGTAGCTGCCTCCACCAGTGTGTGAATGTGAGAGTGACTGAATAGTGGCATTGTAAAGCGCTTTGGGTGCCTTGAAAAGCGCTATGTAAATCCAATATATTATTATTATTATTATTAAATTACTTACGAGTTTAATTTGTCAGCAACTTTCTGCCAGCCCTCTCTCCTTGCTTTTGCAGCCTTTGCAGTGTTCCCTTGCGTTCTGATTTAACTCTGAAACTCCTGAAATCCCTCACTCAGGAGTTCTTGCTCTGCTGCCGAAAAATACCGAGCCGAGCGCACTCCTTCGACATTTTCGCCGACCAATCAGAGGGTTGCCGATCACTGTTTCTGCTATCGATGCGTATCCCCTTTTACGGCACCCAGTGATCGCACATTACTTCATCCAGCTGTACTAATCGTCAACAGCAGGTGTGTTCGGGGAACCGGATTAGCGCGCTCACGGTTAGCGCGATGGTTTGGTCTTGGATGTTTCATTTGATCTTGGATGTAGTAAGCGACGTACGAAGCACAGGGCCCTGGTGTTTATTCACACACATCAAAACAAAAACAAGTGTTTATTTCCAAGTCAAAACAAAATAGTAATTTCAATGAGGAAAAAAAAGAAATCAGTCTACATCGTGTCGTCTCTCTGGGTCCGGCCACAGAATTTCGTCTACATCATATGCAATGTCCTCTAGTCCAAAGCACCGGGGAAAATATCTTCTGGAATTTTACATCTATGGTAATGTTGTGTTCCTCATTAGCATATGGCAGTGCTACAAATCTTAGTGCAAAGTGACTGTACTAATTGATTCTCATTTCAAAATGTCCTTATGATGCTTGCTACAGTGTAGCGGCTCAAGTTAGGCTGAACCCGTTGGCCAGCTTCCCTCAGGGTCATTCCATGGTTGATTACACGGTCCACTATTGTGGCTCTGATGTCATCAGCAATTCTATTTCTTACTCTTCTTACCCTTCCCCCTCCCCCTTCCTCGTCCTCCTCTTCCCCCTCCTCATCCTCCGCTTGCTTCTCCTTGTCATCCTCTTTGTCCTACTTCTTCACCTCCACGTCCTCTTCCTCGGCCTCCTCTAATTCTCACTCTTCTCACTCTTCCTGCTCCCTCCATTGTACTCCACAGCTTACCTGTACCTTATTTATAGTGCTTAGGCTGATTGCAAAGTGAACTAATTATCTAAAACAGTTGTCACATGTGACAGTGTGCCAGACAGCTGGCAAAGTAGTGTAAACTAGAAAAATTTGCATTTCCTGCGAAAATGCAGTGTGGATGCTTTAAAGCTGAAGCTGTATGCAAAAACTAGCTGAAAAAGCTGAAAAGTTGCAGAAATTGTAAAAACTTTGCAGAAGCAAAGGAACTTTGCTAAAATGGAATAACTTAGCAGAACTGCAATATCTTAGAGGAAACATAATACTTGGCAGAAATACAATAGCATAGCAGAGCTTAGCAGAAATATTGTAACTTACCAGAAACATGATAACTTCTCAAAAATACAAGAATTTAGGAGAAATAGTATAAGATAACAGAAAGAATATATTTAGCCAAAAATACTTAAGCATTACAGAAACACTATGATTTAGAAAAATAGTACAACAGAGCAGAAATACTGTGATTTACCAGAGACACTGTGATGAACTATGAATATTGTCATTTTAAATTAATACTATGTTTTAGCACAAATACTATCATTTGACAGAAATACTATCATTTGGCAGAAATACTATGTTTCAGCACAAATACTCTGGTTTAGCACAAATATTATAACATAGCAGAAATACAATTATATAGCAGAAGTGCTGTATTTAGAAAGAAAAATATAATATAGTAGAAATAGTATGATTTAGCAGAAATACTGTAACATGACAGAAATTCCTCCACTTAGTAGTAATACTTTAACATAACACAAATGTTATGATTTGGCACAAAAATCATGATTTGTCAGAAATACTTTAGCAGAAATACTATGATTGAGCAGAAGTACTAAGATGTAGTAAAAGTACTTTGATTTAACAGAAATACAATTATGGAGGAGTAATACTTTAAAATGGGAGAAATATTGATACACACAAACATACACAGAGCCTAAAGGGAAGAGTATTTGTGCCATGGAGTGTTAACAAGAATGTGAGGTCCATATTAGAAAAGCTGGTAAAATCATAAAAGTTTGCAGAATTGTAATAAATGATGAATATGAATTACTGGTCTGTGATAGTGTATTAATTTATAGGGAAAAAAACATGTTGACAAGGTGGAATCGAACCCACGACCATTGGTTTGCAGACCCGTGTCATTACCAACTGCGCCACTGGGAAATAGAGCGGGCGGCTTGAAAAACAGGGTGATGAGCAGTCAGAATTAGATCACGGTGAGAGGCGAAAAACGCCGTTTTTTGGAGTTACAAAACTTTGTGTAACTCAAAAACTAGGTGGACTAGAAGCATAATTCTTGTATTGGGTGAATCAGCGGACTTTGGTGTACTTTGACCGCGATTTTCATTGCTCTCTGTACATCCGTCGCTGAGATATGACGAGAGAAGGAACGGCAGACCTCAGATATGATTGGCTGGCTGGGAAGCCGTGCAGGCCCTGATATGTGCATTTGAATGTCTGAGTCCTCACAGAGGATTGGCTGCCTGGCAGAAATATATAGAAATAGTATGATTAAGCATAAATACTACATTTAGCAGAAATACTATATTAAGCACAAATCCTATAAAAAGCAGAAATACTGTATTAAGCACAAATCCTATAAAAAGCAGAAATACTGTATTAAGCACAAATCCTATAGAAAGCAGAAATACTGTACTATGATTTGGTAGAAAAACTATAATTAATCAGAAATACTATATTTGGCAGAAATACTATATTTAGCACAAATCTTATAAAATAGCAGAAATAGTATGATTTAGCACAATAGTAATAACTTAAACAGAAAAATTGGAAAAGCAAAATGGACAGCTGAAAAAGTGCTGAACATGCTGAGGGTCCCTTAAATATACTTGTTAAATGAAAAAAAAATATATATATATAACAATCACAAATATGGACACATAAGGAAACACACATGCACAGAAAAACACACACACATGATCCAATTCAGTCAACCAGTCTAAATATATTGAATTTAATTTCTCTCTCTCTCTCTCTCTCTCTCTCTCTCTCCCTCTG